ATCGTTCAATAAAATTACAAAGTCATCCATGTAGATTACTACATAGTCTAAGTGTCCTAATATTTTGTTCATTGCACGTATTAAGTATGCTGGTGCCATGCTAATTCCAAATGGTAATGTATGCCAACAGTATGTTCCATACTCTGCGAAAGTTGTAGCTGTATATTTCTTTGAGTTTTCATGCATCACCAATTGCCAATATGCTGATTTTATATCCATTGTTATATAGTATTTATATCTACTAACAGTTTGCAACATTTGCTTGGAGTCTGGTAATGGTTCTCTATACTGTTCTAAGTATTTGTTTAAATTTCTATAATCTATTGCAATCTTTTTTGTTCCATCTTTTTTGGTTATTACTAGTGCAGAACTTCCCCATTCAGTATTTCCACTGAATATAATATTATTTTTCATTAAATCATCTCGCATTTCTTTGATAACTTTTTTATCTTCTTCACTATATTTTCTCAATGCTTGCCTTTTTTCGTGCATTGGTATTTCATTTTCTTTCATTCCATTTTTCAAATTTAATTCTATTGGAGGTATTTCATCAGTATTAACTTTTGTTGCATATTCTTGTTTTTCTCTGAAAACATCAACATATTCTGTAAGAATATGGCCAATTTGTTCCCATGTTCCTGGGCCTCCAGTCATTTCACATTGATTCCTTAGAATTAAGATTCGTTCTTTTTCTTTTTCACTCTGATCTTTCAGATCAGGTAATTTTGTGAGAAAAATTTCATCATTTTTCTGTATTTTTTCAACATTTCCAATATATTGTCCTTTGTTAAATTTCACATTTCTACTCGATATATTCATTATCATTATGTGATTATCATTTGCTATTCCAGGTTGGACGATTATTCCTTTTTAGCAAGTTCTACAGGGGTACCTATATACCCATTTTCTACAGAGTTTTCTATCCTGATATGTCCTATATTCATAGGGGGTATCTCTGTATTTTCATTACAGAATACCTTATAATCTACCTGTTTTCCTTCTATTATAGTTGATAAGATTATATGTCATATTTCTATTGGCATTTCTTTGAAATGTCCGTACAGACTATCATTTTTTTCATCTGTTTCTACTATTCCATACCCTTTATTTGTTTCTTCTTTTTTTTCACTTTCATATTCATGTTGAATACTTTCATAGTTTTGCTATGCCACTTCTGGTAGAGTGTAGGCATAAGCTTTTTGCCATTGTTCATCTGTTAAATCACTATTTCTTGTTACAGGGTATTGTGCTGTTTGTCCATTCCATGGTATTTCTAATATTCTAGTGTTTTCATTCTCATATCTTATTGGTTTTGAGGATTCACCTATTTCTTCTTGATTATTATATTTATTTTCATAATAATCATTTACATCATCTTCTATGATGTTATCCAATTCATTCATTTCTTTTTCATCTTCAGATGTTATTTCTTCTTTTCTACTTTCTTGAAAGAGTTTTCTTCTAATATTTCTTTCTCTTTTCCATTTATCTCCATTTGTGGATGATAAATTCGTATCAGTTGATACAACTGTTCTTGTTCTTTTATACCTTACAGGTGGTTTCTGAAGTTTAAATTCTTCTTCATCATCTTCTAGATTTATTTCATTCTTTAAACTAGAAGTTATTTTTGGTAGACTTGATGTACTAATTTCTTTCATGTGTTCTTCTAAATATTGGATCTACAATATTTTTATTTACAAAATCTTTTATTGGAGAGCTTGGCCTAGGTGGTTCTTTTGCTTGACTTTTTAGCCATTCTCCTATATTTCTACTTTTGAGATTAAAGTCTTCTTCACTAGAAGTTGGAGATACAGGTCTTTCTCTATAGGTATTTTCTTTTGGTATATACCTATTATGAGTAGCACCTTCTGGTGGGAATGGTTCAGGTTGTGGTTTTCCTCTTATTAGTTTTTGGTCTTCTACAAACCTTTTTTCTACTTCATCATCATCATGCATTTTTCCTTGATTTTCTAATGATGATGCTAATAGTTCTTTATATTTGTCCTGAAATTGTTTTCTTACTTTTTCACTTGAGAATTTTGATTCTATTAAGAAGTTTCTTATTGCTATTTGTTGTTCCTATTGTGGCATTTGATTGAACTCTTCTTTTGTCATATTTAATAATGTATATTTATTAAATTGATATTCTTCTTCTATTTGCTCAATCACATCTTTATTTTTCCATACTTGTTGATCTCCTGACTCTGTTAATGCTTGTATTACATTGTATAAGGCTTTCTTTCTATCTTCTTCTTTATCATTAATATTTATTTTTGCAGTTTTTCTACTGTTCCTAGATGACTTTCTAACTCTTCATCTGGTAAGTTTGATACGTATTTGTAGTTATCTTCAATAGTTTGAAGTCTATATCTTAACTGTTTTAAGCCTTTTTAAATTTCTTTGCTATTATTTTTCTTTTCTTCTTGTAATACTCTTTCCAATTGTGTAAGATTTTCTTTAACAAATCTTCCTATTCTAGAAGTATCTGGTATAGTTTCTGGAATTGCTTTTTGTTTTCCTTTTCTATTTTTGGGAACTATTCCATTGGTTTCTTTAAACCTTTTGATTTCTTCTTGCACATCTACAATTAATTGTTCATTCAATTTTTGTTGTGCTTTATTAATTGGTTTTTCATGTTGAGCATGTA